TGACGAGGCAAAAAGGAGTTGCAAAATGGTTGCATACTCAGTGTAAATTGCTCTGTGTTAGGCAACCAAAAGAGGTACGGATGCGACCACAGCAGAAAAGCCAATACGGTTGCACAGTAGAAATCCTACMAGAATTTATGTAGAAAATGTGAGTACGGTGGTAAATGGAGTGGGATCAGTTGGGATATTATAGCCTACGTAAAACCCTACGTATTTTAAGTACTGATTGACTCCTTCGACCGTTTTGCAACATCGGTTGCAAAAATTTGGTACTCATACCGTACCGTACGGTACTAGGTACAAAAAATCCGACGTTTTACATTATTTTTTTAAACCTCAAATGGACGACCCATTGGCAAGGTAAAATTCATGATGTTCGGGCCCCGAACATCATGCGGTTTATCTTCAGAGAATGATCAAATCGCGAACAGTATTCATACGTCGCTTCTTACGTCACTAAATTATTTAAGCATTTGAAGAACTCATTCCTGCAATTCCACCCAGAAAGCAATTCTTGGAACACTTGTATTTAAAGTGGGAGCTATTAATTGTCCATTAGTTACATTAAATATAAGTCTCTTCTATCATTCTTAAAGCATTTAGGAAATATTACTTATTGCGATAGCATTATCATACCAATTTTGTAGTTTAAAACTCCTTTCAACTTTATGCTGCCATTTTGGTAGTTTATCTACGCTAGTATTTGGTTTCGCCGGTATTGTTGTGGTTTGTTAATTCAAAATGTTTGTGTATCTAAAAATTCATTTCCTAGATAAACTCCTTCCGTATTGACAATCTTGTACTTTGGTAATTGGGCATATCTACAAAATCGTTTCGACTCATTTGCACCATTCAATTTATATGATATTAGGTGAGCAGCGTATCAAGAAGACAGGTCTCAACTTTTATCATCTTACAATTACTTGACATTTATCACAATCTAACGCAGTCATTAATTAATTTTCTTGATGATTACTACTACATTATTTCAATTACACGCCAAGGCCATTGAAGGGTAAGAGAAATTCACGGAGAATGTGATATTCATGAAAAAGAATTTAAGTTGCTCTACCGTTGCAATCTCTTCCGACACAAATATTTACAGCCGGAGAGATTAACAAGCTGCATCCTTACGGAACCCCTGCACCACCATCACTCGAACTGCCATCCACAAAATGCTGCTTCAGTCGTGTCATCGTTACGCAAAAGAAAGGCTGAACGGACAGCTTGCCTATTGGAAGGTGACGCACCAAAAGCTAGAAGAGCTTGGCTGGATACACAAAACCATGGCACACCGGCCCCGGAATTTTCTTATTTTACCTCCGCACTACAAAAGCGTTGCGAAAGAAAAACGACGAAACAAAGTCGACTTTTTCAGAGACGAACTAAGCGTCATCGCGTTCCTCAAGGCGGATCCACGGTACTGCGACGAGCCGGAGGTGAAACACATTGTAGAGGAACACGCGAGGTTCGTCTCCCTATACAAGCGCATTTACAATCCAGCGGCAGACCCACCATCGGCACAGACACCGGAAGAGCCAACTGCCCCAGCAACGCCAGAGACCCCCACAAGAGAGAAAGCCGACAACAAGGCTGCCCGCGTTTCGCAATCCTCGACGCCGGTATCGGAGCTTGTCGTCGTCTCCGAAAAGTGCACACCGGAAGAGCCAGCTGCACCAACAACGCCAGAGAAACCCACAAGAGAGAAAGCCGACCACAAGGCTGCCAACGGTTCGCAATCCTCGAGGCCGGTACCGGAGTTTGCCGTCCTCTCCAACGAGTGTTCCTTTCTTCCCAGGGCGAGACCGGATTTCAAAAAACTCTACCAGAAGCGGAAGCAGGTCCTGATGTCGATCCCCGGAAACCTAGCCTATTACAAACTCTTGCAGGAGGCCTCGGCCCAACTTTCCCGGTGCGGGTCCTCCCTGCCCTGGTTGCGGGCGAAGTTGGTGGAAGAACTGGTCGACAAGGTCCTGGCCGTCGATGGGCACTTTCTCGTGCCGGCCGTTGCGAGCGATCCCAACAACTACGAGATCGGGGGGTTGGAATGGTGCGACATGCATAGGAGGCTCGCCCTGATCATAACATCAAACGATCTCGACGAAGTATAGGCTTCTTCCACCAGCTACTAGGAGCCTGTCTATTCTGTATATACTTTTAATATTTAAGCTACGTTTCTCGTTTCGACATTCAAAACTACCATCAAGAGATTAATTATTGTGTTGTGTTGTGTTCCATCACAGGTTCCATGCCTGCTCCCAGCGACCCTGCGAGGGTGCGGCAAGGAAAGGCACGACAAACTAATAGTAGCGCGCTGGTATGGCAGCACCGTACCTGCTGCGGTTTCGTTTCGTGTGGTTTGCACTTGTGCAGTGTGTGAGACTTTGGTGATGCGGAGAATGTACGATACTAGTATAAGATGTGGGTGCGCAAGCCCCGAACGCGGCGTGTTTCGTCCTCGAGGTTCGTTGTTTGTTGTTCGTTGCTCGTGTCGTTCGTTTCCCTAGCCCGGAAACGGTGTGAGATTCGTCGTTGTGCGTCGCCGAGGTTTGGCATCACTTCCCCATGAGGATCCCGATCCACGGAATGCACAGGGCGCGGACAAAGGGCAACACCCCGTTGTTGCCTCCGCCGTCCCCGCCGCCGGCTCCCGCTTGTGCTTGTGCTTGTGCTTGTGCCGGGGATTGGGAGGAGGGTTCTTGGTTTTGCTCGGCACCGGGTTCCAGCCTCGGGAAAAAGACCCCGGCCCAGGGAAAGTAGAGGGCCTGGAGAAGGGCGACGATCCTCGGCCGGTTGTCCTCTCCGGGTTTCGGCGAGGAGGAGAAGAAAAAGCCCAGCCATGGAAAGTAGAGGGCCTGGAGAAAGGGCAGGAGGCCATTCTTCCGCTGCCCGGGTGCCACAGGAGACGGGGTTTGCGGTTCGATGGCGGTGAGCTGGACCTTTCCCTTCTTGTCAAAGTCGATGACAACCTTGATGTCGTCGTCGTCGTCCCCGCCGGCGGCCTCCCCCGTCTTTCCTGCGGCCGCAAGGGGCTTCATCGTCCCGGAAACGTTGACCGGCGCGACCGCCTTGGCCGCGACGGGCTCGGCCGCTTTCTTTGGGGCTTGGTTCGTCTTAGCGGCTTCCTTTTTCTTCTTTGTCTTCGTTTTCGTTTTCGTCGCCGGCTCGGCCGTTGCGGCCTTTGCCCTAGCGGCCTCCTTTTTCTTCTTGGCGGCCTCGGCACGCTTGGCAGCCTTCTGCCGGGCCTCCTCCTCGGCCTTTTCGTTCTCGCTCACGTAATAGGCGTAGGAGATCGCGTAAGAAAGAGCTACGGCCGCCGCGCCCTCCACGACGATAACGTCGCCGTGGGTGGCGCCCTGGCCAAAGACCCTGCCGAGGCCGCTGTCTCGGTCCAGGGGCGAATTCCAGTAGTCGTTCCAGTCTCTCAGCCACTGCGGGGTGCTCCGCTCGTACCGGGCGGGCTCCATCGCCAGGCTGAGGGCCGTGGGATCGAAACCCTTGTAGCCGCGGATGCGGAGGACCCACTCGTCGTCGGGCTGAACCACGGCGACGGCGGCGGCAGAAGATGCGTCCCCGGCGGCGATCGGATCGCTGGTCCCGGCACGGTATTCTGCGGTGATCTGGAGGATCTCCCCGTTGACCAGGAGGTTGACCCGCTGGTGGTCCACCGCGTCGTCGACCATGCGCCTGAGATCGGAAGGGGGCCGGACGACCACCTCGGTCTCCCTCTGCAGGTCTGCCCCGTAGTCCCTCACGATGCCCACCACCTCCCTCCAGGCCTCCACCGAGGAGAGCTCCGTCTTTGCGGCCGAGAAGACCCGCTGGACCGATCCCGCCAGGGCGGCCCGGTGCTCCCCGTCCAGGAGCGCGGTCTTGGCCAGGCTGGTGACCGCCGTTTCGGTAGACCGGAGGAGGGCCCGGGTGTCCCCGTCCCTGACCCGTGCCTCGATGGTGGCGGTCCCCGGCGAGACCAGGCCGAGTCCACCGGCGCTGGTGCTGGCTGGCGAGACGGGATCTTCCGCTCCCGCCGGGAGGCCGCTGCCCAGCGTGGCCGAGACCACAAAGGAGGCGGCCACCAGGAGGCTCAGCCACGGGTCCTTGCTGTTTCGGGCCTTCTTGGTGTCCTTGTTTTTGTTTTTGTTGTTGTTGTTGTCGTTGTCGTTGTATTTGTCGATGCTGTTGTCGTTGCTGTTGTCGTTGCTGTTGTCGTTGCTGTTGTCGTTGCTGTTGTCGATGCTGTTCTCGCTGTCAATGTCGCTGTCAATGCAGCCGTTGTTCACGTGGTCCACGCCGTGCTGGTGGTGGAGTCGAAAGGCCTTTCTCCGGTCGGCAGGAAACGACACGGACGCCGACTTCGTCGTCGTCGTCGTTGAGGGAGTTGTCCGCTCGGGGTTCGAGCTCGACGAAAAGCCGCTGGCGGTGTGGTCGGCCAGCAGGGCCCACGCCAGGGCGGCGGCGCCCAGCGCCCGGATCGTTGCTTGCCGGTGGGTTCTCGTTCTTCGACTCGGCATTCTGGTGGTTTGGGTTGCGTTGGGTTGCGTTGGGTTGGGTTGGCAGCTCTGGATTGTCTTGTCTTGTCTTGTTGTTCTTGCTGCTGCTGCTGCTGCTGCTTTTGTTGCTGCTGCTACTGCTGTTCTTGCTTTTGTTGTTGTTGTTGCTGCTGCTGCTGCTATTCTTGCCGTCTCTCTTGTGGAAATGAAACGCAATGCGTCAGTGGCAGCAAGGAGGCTGATGGGTGGGAGCACTTTTGTAGACGGTTTTCGCTGTACCGTACGGTGCCCTACCGTAGGACCTTTACGATGCTCGCAGTTTGAGGTTTCGGAAACTTGGATCAACGATCGATGATTGCTTCAAGAATCCATTCGTTGTGAATTCCGACCTTCTCCTCCCGTACCGTCGTACGAGTATGTACCGTACTACTCCTACTACCTGCCGTAATCGAAACGACAACGAGAAAAACTGTTTTACCGTTTGTCCTCTTTGGGTCACGGATTGCGATTTCATTGGGCGCTCACGTCGCGTGCACGCCCTAATGCCGTTAGCATTCCATCGGTACGGTACCGTACGGTACGGCACGGTATCTTTTGGCGGGAGTTTTTGCCGTTCCAGACGTGGCACATTCATTCGGAGTTGCACCTATCGTCCTGCCGGGGTCAGGGGTCGAAATTAATTATGACCCCTGGCCGGGCTGGGTTCGATGTCCCGTGTCCTCCGTTCTCCTCTGCTCCTAAATAATGGGCGATTCCCTATTAGATGTGCTTCTTTTGATAGACTGACAGACCAAAAATCTATTGTTACAAAGTAGTAGTACATCTGTAACAATTTTTATTACATCTGATACCGGTGAAATTGGTGGTATCAAATGTAACAAATTCTACAATGGAAAATTCAAAAGTTTGAGTCCATTGAGTCCATTGAAAGATTCAACACCAGAAAGGACAAAGGCTTCATTAAGAGGAGAAGTGAGCAAGGGTTTAGAGCCTCCTTCTCCCCCTCCTGGAGCATCAACTGCTGGAGGAGTGTCAGATGATCTTGCTTGAGCTTCTGAAGGAGCATCAATTGTTCTTGCTGTTTTTTTTGTACCACTTTTTAGTCAATATGTTGAACTATACTAGTTAGGATTTGGTTCTTCCATCACTAGTAGCTTGTGACATACAGGCGAGTATAGCTGTCAGTACTAGTACTACTAGTATCATAAATTCATGCATGGAGTATATAAAGACCCAAACAGTTTGATACAACAGGAGGAAGAATGAACTCCATATTGATAAAGAAGGAGAAGCATTTGAATCAAAGGGGTCATGCATGGTGAACATAAGAGTAAATGAAAACCATATTCCTCAATACTAAACTTAACAACCAAAAACCAACAGGAGTAAGAGCCACATCATCTGCTTTCTGAATTTCAGTCCTCTAGTACTTCTGCTGTTGCTCTCCAGGAAACTTTAGCACCACTTAGGGGGGGGGGGGGCTTGGCAAGATGACATTTTGTGTGCACTGCAGATTGTTTTTGTGCTATCTAGGTGCCTTGTGATGGTACCTTTGCAAGGAAGCATAAAATCATCAAGATATGTTTCCAGAGGAGTTGTCAAACAAAAGGATGCAAAATGGAGACGTGATCAATTGCAATAGATTTGGGAAAGGCTCGTTAACTCTACTAAAGAGATACAAAAGAGACATGGCTGATCGAATCCAAGATGTCTTTCTCATTGAATAATGCAACAGGTATAATTCTTACTTCCTAGTGATATCACTATACGCATGGTACACTTCACACCGCGGAGGGGTTTTCCAACGGAAACAAGTTGCAATATTCTTTTTTAGTTCTTTCAAATTGTATTTCTGTCCCATTGATTTTCCAAACTATGTGAGAGCAAATGGTAGATAGGTTGTCACTTTGCTCGGTTCACGTATTGTTGCCGTTAATGATCCGTTTTAGTATAGCGTTGTACGCAAAACAAGGAATATTGATTCGTTTCTTTACGCAACTCGTGTTTGCGATGACCCGTGTTCATTCTCAGTATTCTCTTTTCGATGGTCGGCCCAACACTTCGTTCTTACTTCAGAGCTATCTACTTGCGCTGCTTCTTGGCCTTCTTGGCGGATTTGTTCGCCGCCTTTTCMGCCGACTTGGCGCCTCTTTCTTTCTTTATGCGCTTCTTTTTAGGTGACGCAACTCCGTCGGCATTGCGCTTCCTCCGAACCTTCTTGTCGGCGATCTCGTCGTCCTCCGAGCACACCGCCGTGGCGGTTTTCTTCCCGTTGCTTTTGTGTTTGTCCGGCTGGAGCGTCACCAGGCCGTGGGCAATGTCCCTGGCCGACTGTGGCGCCCCCAAAGGCATCCAGCGGCGCTTCAGGCCGGTGCGCTGGGGGATGTGCGAGTACGCGTGCCGCAGGACGTCGTCGGTCGCCTTCGGACCGACCAGGGGCGCGAGCTCGGCCTCGGTTTTTCGCGACAGGCCGCCCGCGTGGACGTTGAAGTGCCGGGAAAAGGCCCGGGAGGAGGGGTGCAGGAAGAACTTGTTGTCCTTCGTGTCGCTCTTCTTTGCACCGCCACTTTCGTCGCTGTCGCTGTTGCTGCTGCTGCTGCTATCGTCGTCGTCGTCTTCGTCGTCGTCTTGCTCGTTGGGAACAAGCACCCGGAGGTTTTTGTTCTCGACTGTCTCCCCCATGTGGATCGTGAATTTCCCGTCGTTGATTTTCATCCCGCCGCCCTGCTTGTTGCTTGCGATCGCCTCGAGATCGATTTCGACGCCGTTCAGATCCGATACCTTCATTTCCGAGGGAACCCGAAACGTCCACAACTCGTAGCGATCGCTGTCGTCGTCATCATCATTATCGTTTTCGATGTGGTCGATCGCTCCCGGTGGGGGGAGGTTGAGTTCCCGATCGATGAAGGAGTTGAATTGGTTGGAAGGCGTCGACATTCTCCGTTTCGGAATCCAGCAAGGGTTTGTCTAGCACGCCTGGTGTTTGTACTATTTCTAGATATCAATCCCACTCTTTCCGATTGTACCTTAGATATTGCGTTCGATGCGAAGCGTGCAACAACGGTGATGGGGCAGAACAGGATAAACAACTGTATTCCTTCCAGCATCACCCGACGAAGCCATCACGGTTGCTCGATTTTTCGGTTTTGCGCTCGAAACCACGGCAAGTGGATGGTTGTGAACCGCTTCCAGGATAACTATGATGATATCATCTGAAAGGTACGTACGTATAATATTGTCATATGTGACGGCATACGGCGTGTGCACTGAAGAGCGAGTTGATCCATTCACTATCTCTCGTGAGTGAATCGGATTCTTGATGATTCCATGTTCAAGCGTAAAGGGCTTATCATCAAGAAGAACGCAGAATGACGTCAATGTACCGTAGAGTGATGCCGTATCGCTTCTGCTGCAATACCGTAAGAGAATCCACGATCTTTATGGCATCAAGTTTCGTTTTCAAGAACGCTCCTGCCAACTGCCACACCGTGGGCAACAGTCTCCAACCAACGACTCTAGCGACAAAAGAAGCAGAGGCAATCACCGTTTTTTCCTCAGTCGAAAAAGAATCCTTGCGTTTCACAGAGAACCGATGATCCATCGACGAGGCCACAAACAAAACCTAGAACAGGTGTCGCAACCGATGCGAACGACAACAAAGGCAACATCCAAGTCCTTCCCCGGTGGTAGTTCGGAGCACTGCCACCGCCCTGAGAAAAGCCGGGGAAGCAAGCACGCAAACACCAATTTTTCAAATACCACACGTCTGCTGGTCTTGGTCGTTCTGATCTCGTCGGTGCTTTGTCCAACGGCTCACGCTGGAACTCTGCCCACGTCGTCGTCCTCACAGCTAGATTCCACCATCACAGTTACGGCAGAGAGCGAACCAAACAATACCCTTCCAAACACACTCGATCCTGATACTTTTGATGCGACCATCACAGAGCCAATCTTCAATAAAAACGCAAAATCAGGCAGGACGCTACGAACCAATCATGATAGCATCGCTGGAAAGAAACTTGCCTTCCTCACTGGCACTTCGAGGGGGGGAGGAGCGAGGGCAAGGTTGAAAGGAATAAAAGTAGGCACAGCTCAACCCGCAGAAAAACAAGTCCCTTCTTTTTATTGGGCCGTCCTGCACAACTGGCTCTATTTCTTGTCGCTCGGGTTCAATGCGGTGAACATTCCGTATCTGATCCGCGAGGTCGTCGACGGTCCAAACCACAACGGCACACCTAGCCCTCGCTCCATCGCCCTCAGTGGGAACGTTGAGGCCGTGGACAAGATCCTAACTTTTGGGGGGATTGCCTTTTTGTCGGCCCTTTCGGACAAGTACGGCCGCAAGCCATTGATCGTTTGGTCGTCCCTCGGATTTGCCCTCACTAACCTGCTACAGGCCCTCAGCGGCTCGGTGTCTCCGTCTGTTACGACATCTATTCTATATCTAGCCGACTTTGTCGATGGGTGTTCCTCCTGCATGGGTCCAGTTTGCCAGGCCTACGTTGCCGATTGCAGCCCCCCATCCGGCCTGGCGTCCAACCTGGGAATCTTTCAGGGACTCAGCATCGGTGGTGCGTTCATCCTGGCTTTTCCGATCGGCGGCTTCATCGGTAACAAGCACGGGCCAAAGCTGGCGATTCGAATGGCCGCCGGATTCCAGTTACTCAACTGCCTCATTGCCTTGATCTTGACCCCCGAGTCGAATTCGAAAGCCGGGGGCAATGCCGACAAGAAGATCCGCTTATCGGAGGTCAATCCCATCACCGGGCTGCAGAAATTGTTCGGCCTCGGAGGAAATAACAGCGGACCCAGTGTGTCCCTGCTCCGGACTGCCTCCCTCGCGTACTTCTCCTTGTCACTGGCCCGCTGCGCACTCGATGCCCAGTTTATCAACTACACCAACTTGAGGTTTGGCTGGACGCAGGCTCAATCGGGGCCCGTTCTGGTAATGGTGGGACTGATGCTGGCGATCGTTCCGCGGATCGTGGTCCCAAGGATCGGCCTACAGAGATCTATCAACTACGGGCTGATTGTGTACGCGCTCGGATTTTGCGCCGCCGGGCTGGTTTCGCAGCCGGCCCATTTTGTAGGGGCGATTGCGGTCATAGCCTTTGGCTGTGGTACGTACGAAGCAATTCAGTGCAATCGAAGTTCGAGTTTTTGTGGCGGCATAGTTTCTTCCGGAAGCACGAAGCAGATGACGTTATCTTCTGCATCATGCGCTTGATACTACATAACTCGGTACTAACTCTTTCCATCCCTTCCAATTTCATTCCTTGTTTTTTTGTGGCAAAAATCGTTGCAGTCGCGATCCCCGCACTGCAAGCATTGCTGGCAAACCTGGCCCCACCCGGAGAATCCGGTGCCCTGCTTGGAGCGGTTGGGTCACTAACAGAATTGACGGGTGCGATCGGTTCCTCCATGTACGCGACGCTGGTTGCGACGTTTGCCGTTCCATCTTCTACAAGTGGTGTAGATCCCGAAGGAGTGTTGGAACCGCCATCATTTTTCTGGTCGGGTGTCTTGCCAAACGTCGACAGCATTCCTGGAATGCATTTTTTGGTGGGTGCTTGTTTCTGTTTGATCGGTTGGGCAATCTCAACTCCGGGATTGAACCAGAACCGAGATCATCCCGCTTTGAAAACAGCCGTAGACAAGGAGTTGCTATCGGGATCAGCATCGTAGTGACTGGGGTCAAAAATGTGTCTAGATGAAACATAGAACAATACTTTGTATGTATTGATATATTAAGACGGAGATAATTTTTCGACTCAAAAACAAATGCTTTGGCATTTTGATCGAAACATTCCATTATGTTTCAATTCGTTAATTTTTCACAAAAATCAAAAACTAATACCATGATGGTTAACGCATTACTATTTTTATTTTGTAGTAGTATAATGCTATGATTCTCGTCTAAATTACATATACGTGTGTGTTCTCAGTTTTGCACACATTCTCATTGGGACAGGATCTTCACGAATTTCTTTCGGAAGAATAAAATATAGAATTTGTTCGGTTTGGTTTGGGTTTCTCATTTGCGGACATCGAGGTTGTCGATGGGGATCTTTCTAAACACCGGATCCTCAACGGTGATTTCATCAACGTCGTCTACAAAGATTTCGTTCACATCATCAGCGCCTTCAGATTTCTCCTTTCTCTTTCTTCGGCGGCGGCGCCTTCTTCGTACTCGCTGGTTATATCTCCTCGCTCTTTGTTGTTTCTTGAATTCAAAACTGGTTGGGCTTAGGGACGGTTGTGAGCTTGGGTTTGATGACGGTTGCGAGCTGGGTGGATTAGTTATGCTCCGATTTCTCTTGAACATCCCATTGGCGACAGAGCTTATTGAACTTTCCGAACTGCTGCTCGTAACCGTTGTTTCGACTGTAGAAGAAATCGATGGTGCGGCCGTTGGAGCTACCGGAGAATTCGTTGGTGCGGCCGTTGGTCCGTTCGTTGGCGCGCGTGTTTTAACTAGTGTTGGGGCCGGGGTGGGTGTTTGGTTTGGATACATGCTGGGATCCGGGATCCGATCCGGGGTAGGTGCTAAAGTATTGTCTTCGTTCTTTTTCTTTTTGTCACCCTTGTCACTCTTGTCGGACTTGGCCTTCTTCTCCGACTTTCCCTCCTTCTTCTTTCCGACCTTTCCAGATTTTTTCGGTGTTGGAGACAGCGTAGGCTTCGTGGTTGGTGTACTGGTTGGTGTTCTGGTTGGCGCATTGGTTGGGTTGTTGGTAGGACCGGTAGTGGTGCTGGTTTCAGGTAAGATAATTGCTCCGGGTTGTTCACCTTTCCCACTTTTTGTTTCCTTGGCACTCTTGCTCTTATATGACTTTGGTGATTTCGCCGATTTCAAGGATCTATTTTGTCCACCGCGCAACTGACTGGCTTCTCTATAATATGAAAGGTCCGAGCTGCTTGACTGCCGTGTGATGGAATTTATTTGTTATGTAGTCCGTAAAACATGAGAATTGTGAGAATGTCGAGAAATTTCGAAGGTAACAACTACAGCAACCCATTCCGTTCCATGAGTACCATCGAAACCATCCAGTCAACCATGGATTCATTCCTCTTATTCGAAATGATGCCAATGTTGATCACATACCTGTCCGTACACGAGTTGACTTTGATTCGATGCCGCCGCCAATGCGACTAAAAACATGACCACGGAGTTCATAGTTGTCTTCTTTCTTCCGATCATTGTCTATTTTTTTTCCTGTAAAAATATATTTAAACATCCAATAGAGACCAATTGAAATTATTTCGTTTTAAACCAACAAATGCATTGTATCATTGAGTACCAGTAGCGGGTCCAAGTTCCGATTACAATCATACTGGCGTTCAAGTTCTCCTGAAAAATTTGGGGTTTTGAATGAAGGAATTTCAACAAAATTGTGGACGCCGTGCAACTGAGTTTAACTGTGATATTAACTGTGATATCACGTGGGTACTATTTAATTTCAGCGTTCTAAATCGATTTTTGTGCAGTAAGAACTAGGAATACTTAGAAAAATAGTCATACAGGTGCGTTAGAATAAAAAAACCGCGACCATAGAGATAAACATATTAAGTCTTGTTGAATCGATTTAGAAACAGAACCACGGATACGGAAAATATCAGGAGACGCAACTCCACAAATATCCATTCGTGTGGGTATTTCATAACTTTCCGTTCCTTTTCTTTAACGTTCACAATCATTCCGAATCGCATCTACCGGGTCTTCCTCATCATTTTAGAAAGACCAGATACTCGTAACTGTTAACAACTCTTGAAATTAATTAAAGGAATCGTTACCGTGCTATTTTTTTTCCTCGGTACAATTATCATAACAGGTTCCGTAGAATTATTGTTGTAATTTTGAAACAGAAGAGGTAACACTCTTGCTATCATGACATTTTAACTGTTCTAAATAACCACTGGAGTACGTACTACGACCTACTTGTAGACTGTGAGGACAACACTAGTACTAGATTATGAATAGCTAGCGAATATGACATCAAAGAGTCTATTAGCATTTCACACCAGGAGGAGGTTACTACGAGCAACAAATGGCTTACCTTGCTTGATACTGTACTGTACTACTTGAAGTAGTACTTCCATCATCAACAGCAAGCCATTATTGATTTCAATGAGTACAGTACAACTTCTACCTACTGCAAAGCGATGATATTTCTTGAATAGTGTTTTGTAATGCTGGTTGATTTGGCGAGTCTTATTTTGTGTATGTAATCCTATGTACCAAGTTAATAGGACATAAATGACCTTTATCAGGGGTCTAAAAATGACTCATGACCTTTATGACCCCCTCCCATAAAAGTGAATTGCTAAGGTGCTCTCTACTGTGGTATGAATACCGTGGTTTACAATAAAGAGTGAGGTTATTCACCACTAGATACTCCTGTTTGCGGGTTGTGTGTCAGTCTTTTAAGGTGTTATGCCCATCATTGTTGAAATGGAGCATCAACACACATGTTGTAAAAGGGGCTTTTGGGTGGAAGAAGCTCCCCCACTAAGGCGTTGCAAACATCATAACCAATCCATTTGAGATTTAATGCTGCAGCTAAGGCCCATGTAAGTTGGTGAATAGGCTGTTCCACACGGGATGCATATGTTTCAGCCAATGTGACAGCCTGGCCATAGTGTTTACCACCATTGCATGTGCAAAGAGGTTTAGGTTCATCTATGCCTGTGAGTGGGTTGTTCTCCTTTTCTAAATAGGTCCATACTCAGGGGAGGATTGTCATGTCTGCTTTAGATTAGACTGGGTCACTGAAAATGCCTACTTTGTGGTACTGTTGAGTTGTTTCCATTACAAATGTGTTCTTTTGCTATATCTGGGGAATCTATGGCCAGAGGCCGTGTGGTTTGTCTGTCCAAAGATCTTGGTGGTGATTAAGGGAATGGAGATGTTGGGAAATTACATTCAGTTGATCAGCCTGGATCATTGGAACACCCTCACCACTTAAGGCAAAGCTGGTAAGAGAACCAAATGCAAATTTAATGGACACTCACCAATGTGTACTATCCCCTGTGTGCTGGATAGTGTTAATAATGTCTGCTCAAGATTGAATAGTCTTGCCATCTACAGAGGTGATTATATTGCCTCATAGTCTTTGTTTCCGGCCTCTAATTCTAGTATGTGAAATGGAGCCAACCTGTAGGGCAGTAACTTTGACTGCATCTGTGATATCCAGATGCAGTGCAACTATGAAGCCCRTTGTTGGAAGAAAGCTGTTTGTATTTAACAAGGGAAGCATGTGAGATGTCTCCTGGAAGAACATGTTGGTAGATATGTCTAGGTTTTCCAGTTCAGGAATTAATGAGAGCTGGGCTGCAGCTGCAGTTGTGTGGGGGAATTGTGGATGTTCGTCGGAGCAACGAAATTCAACCAGCCTCTGAACGACTGGAAATTGAAAAGTATGACCAGTTCTAGATCAAAATTTCATTGGCTGTTTGATGGTGCAACAAAATTCAACCAGTGCCTCTAGTCTTGGGGAACCACATCCCTCCTCACTTCTCAATATAATGATTGCGTTTTTTGTGGTACTGCTTGTCTGAGAGTCAATAATGAGGACTACTGTTGTGACGAACCTGCCGAGGAACCTGCCGAGGAACCTGTCAAGGAACCTGTCAAGGAACCTGTCGAGGAACCTGCTGAGGAACCTGTCGAGGAACCTGTCGAGGAACCTGCCGAGGAACCTGCCGAGGAACCTG